CAAACATGTTATACTTACCTGCTCTATTCAGTGGTTTTGCACAGAGCAGCCCCAATCTTCTCTTGACCACTCTGGAACTCTCTAGGCATTTCTGGGTCCCCCCCTCCCACCCCACTGAGTGCCCCTCCCCCATAACAAGCTGCAACTCGGCCCTGTCCTTCTCCCTCCTCACTGCCTGTGATTGACAGCAGCAGGAGCCAATGGCTCCCACTGCTGTTTCTGAGCCAGTGAAGAGAGACATAAAGAGATAAGCAATGCTGCTCTGTGCACAGTGCTGGAACATCAGACTCAGGTAAGTATATGGGGGATGGGGGGGAGCTTTGCACAGAAGGTAAAAAATGCCTTTTACCTTAATGCATAGAATTAAAAAGCCTTCTGCCTTTAGATCCACTTTAATTTTTGATCAGTTTATAACCATCTTTATTTTAAGCTCAATAGCTATTGTTATATAACGTGTTGATGGCAATATTACAATCTGCTTTTCCCATTTATAAGCATTCTTGTATCTATGCCATCAAGAACTTAAATTTGAACTCCAGGATCAGCAGTTATTTTCTATATACAAGAGTCATCATGTTTTCTTCCTTGAATTTTGTGTGCTTTGTGTATTTCTGCCAGATCTCTGTAGTATTCCATTGTAAAATGTTGCCCCTGTTTAGGAGTTAACCATAATAAAGACCAGCCACTGCTACTCTCTCTCCTTGTGCAGGGTGACTGGCAGGGGCGGACTGACAACTCATGGGGCCCCCGGGCAATAGGGGATCATGGGGCCCCTGTGTCCTTAAAAAAGCCTAAGAAAAAGGTACCAGGGCATCTCATGGGGCCCCCTACTGACCCTGGGCCCTCGGGCAGTGCCTGAGTTTCCAAATGGTCAGTCCGTCCCTGGTGACTGGTCTTGTCACCACCTGCACCCACCTCAATACATGCATCTCCCAGTGCACTACAATACACAGATGGAAAAAAGGGTCAAGATCACAAGTGTGAACTTAGCTTAACCCATATGGCAAAAGCAATAAAAGGATTAACTTTTTTGTCCTTTTTGTAACTTTTTAAATCTTTTACTTTTACTGTCACTCCATAACTGATAAGTCCAAATGTGCCAGAATTCATAGAATCTCATCAAAGGCTTATGACTCTCCGGGGGTCTAAGAAGTGATCAGATAACTCTTTTGTCATCTTTTCACTTCCAGTGGGGAAAGGATCACTTTGTGGTAATATCAGAGTTCTAAATCAGATCACTGATGCCTCTTCTTTGCCTCCTCTTTGCCTCCTCTTTGACCTTGTGATGCATGTGGATTTCAGGGACTCAGTGACAATCCCCTGCCTTCACCCATCTGGCTTGATGCCAGGATTCTGAGCATGAACTCAGAAGTACTCGGGAGTGAGCACTTTTGGTTCATTTGCCAGCCACAGATCAGCATTAGTTAGCATGCCTGCCTGCCAAAAACAGGGGAATGCCACCAGAGCAGGGGCGGACTGACAACTCATGGGGCCTCTGGGCAATAGGGTATCATGGGGCCCCTGTGTCCTTGCCCAAACTCAAAAAATCCTATGAAAAAGGTACCAGGGGCACCTCATGGGGCCCCCTACTGACCCCGGGACCTAGGGCAGTGCCTGAGTTTACAAATGGTCAGTCCGCCCCTGCATCAGAGCCTCTACCACTGGACAGGTGTGACTACAAGGCAATGGGAAGTTGTTCCACATATTATGGGAGGGGGTGGAGAAGTAATGATAGTTTAATTTAAACAGAGAGTCCGAACATGCTGACAGCCAGAACTGGATAGAGTAAGTGCTTATCCATTCCTCTGTGTATAGCGGACTGTCTTCAATACAACTACAGCTTGCTTTTAGGAATTTGCAAACAAGCGTAAGAACATTGCCCATTATTTCTGGAACAAGTACTACAGATTTATTGGTGTTTATAACAGGTTGATCACTGACAAGTTGCATTTGTATTGCATATGCATTTTTATTTATAGCCAGCTTTCTAGGTACCTTCACACTGTGAGTTCATGGTTATTGAAGTGACCATGAACTTATAGTTTGAGAAAACAATCCTGTTCCAAAGTAACACAATTGCCACAAGCAAGGAAAGGATTAAAATGTTTTAACACCTTTGAACCCAAATTGGGTAAATACCTACTTCATATTTGCTATGTTTTGCCAATCACAGAGCATAATTTATAAAACTTAAAATTGTTGCTTAAATTTCTACATATCATTTTCTGAAAACTTTAAGTGAAAAATCCTACTTAACTCACCCTCTTTATTTGTAATGTAAATGAAGGGGCTGGGGAGTTGTGTTTACCATAATTAATGCTGCCTGTACTGTGCTGGCAGATCTTATTACCAGGTGTAAACGGGTGTGGGTCCTGCATTCTATGTTAAAGTGGAACTTTACCCATAACAACTTGATAAAAAATAATGTTACATAGTTAAATAGTTAGTCTGGTTGAAAAAAGACAAAAGTCCATCCAGTTCAACCATAGAAAAAAAAAGTTATAATCCTATACCCACGGTTGATCCAGCAAAAAAACCCAGCAAAGCATGATCCAATTTGCTCCTACTGGAAAAAAAAAAAAAAAAAAACTTCCTGATCTCCCAAGAGGCAATTGGATATTCCCTGGATCAACTTTACCTATAAATGTTAGTATCCAGTTATATTCTGTGTATCTAAGAAAGAATCCAGGCCTTTTTAGAAGCAATCCACTGAGCTTGCCAGAACAAACTCTTGAGGAAGTCTATTCCACATTTTCACAGCTCTCACTGTGAAGAAACCTTTCCGTGTTTGGAGATTAAATTTCTTTTCCTCCAGATTTAAAGAGTGCCCCCTTGTCCTCTGTGATGACCTCAGGGTGAATAGCTCTACACCAAGTTCACTATATGAACCACTGATGTATTTATACATGTTGATCATATCCCCCCCTTAATCACCTCTTCTCAACAGAGAATACATTCAGTTCACCTAATCTTTCCTCATAGCTGAGCTCCTCCATGCCTCTTATCAGTCTGGTTGCCCTTCTCTGTACTTTCTCCAGTTCCCCAATGTTCTTTTTGTGAATTGGTGCCCAAAACTGAACTGCCTATTCCAGATGAGGTCTTTACTAATGATTTGTACAGGGGTAATGATATCTCTCTCTCTGGAGTCTATACCTCTTTTAATACAAAAGAGGATTTTACTCGCTTTAGAAACCGCAGCTTGGCATTGCATGCCATTATTAAGCTTGTGATCTACCAGAACTCCCAGATCCTTCTCTGCCATTGATTCCGCCAATTGAACCCCCCCCCCCAGCATGTATAATGCATGCATATTCTTAGCTCCCAAGTGCATAACCTTACATTTATCAACATTAAACCACATTTGCCACATAGTTACCCAATTAAACAGTGCATTGAGGTCAGCTTGTAAATTGAAGACATCCTGTAAGGACGTTATTCCACTGCAAAGCTTGGTGTCATCTGCAAAGACTGAAATGGTATTTTTAATCCCAGACCCTATATCGTTTTATAAATATATTAAAAAATAAGGGTCCCAACACTGAACCTTGGGGTACACCACTGATGACCCCAGACCATTCAGAGTATGAATCATTAATCACTACTCTTTGAATACAATCTTTTAGCCAGGTTTCTATACATTTACATACAGATTTTTCCAAGCCTGTAGACTTTACCTTACACATTAGCAGTGTGTGGGGAACTGTGCCAAACACTTTTGCAAAATCCAATTATACCACGTCCACCGCCACCCCTCTGTCCAACGTTTTGCTCACCTCCTCATAAAAAGAAATCAGATCTCTTTGACAACTTCTGTCTTTCATGAATCCATGCTGACTGTTGGTTAAAATATTTTTTTCCAGCAAGAACTGATCTGTGTGTTTTTTTTTAAACTATCCAGTATCTTCCCCACTATAGAAGTTAAACTAACAGGTCTACAATTACTTGGTAAAGATTTTGACCCCTTTTTAAATATTGGCACCACCTTGGTCTTACGACAATCCAGTGGTACTATGTCAGTCATCAAAGAGTCCCTAAAAATTAGAAACAATGGCTTTGAAATGACAGAGCTCAATTCTTTAATGACCCGTGGGTGTATGCCACCTGGTCCAGGTGCTTTATTCACCTTTATTCTGTCTAAATATTTTTAGATCATATAAATTGTGAGCCAATGTGGATCATCTGGAGCTGTGTCAATACCATGGCAATTATGGACAAGAGCTCCCCCATGCTCCTTTGTATACACAGAGCTGAAGAAGGTATTTAATAAATTTGCCTTCTCTTTGTCCCCAGTCACCCACTCTAGATTATTTTTGTACAGGGCCTACATGCTCAGACTGGATCTTTTACTATTATTATCTTTGAAGAATTTTTGGGGGTTGGTCCTGCTTTTTTTTGCAATCTGTCGTTCGTTTTCAATTTTTTCGGCCTTCATTTCCTTTTTGCATATTATGTTATATTCTTTGCAATGTTTAAATGATGATAGCCTACCTTCATTTTTTATATTTAATAAAAGCTCTTTTCTTATTATCTATAGCTTTTTTAACTTTGGCCGTAAGACACATATGTTTGAATGTTAGCCTTTTAAACTTGTTGCCCATGGGAATATATTTTGCAGTGTTTTCACATGCAGTCTTTTTGAAGAACTCCCATTTCTATGTTGTGTTCACTGATGCCAATATTCCCTCCCAGTTTAAGTCTTGGAGAGCAGCTCTCAGCCTTGGAAAATTACCTCTTAATATTGAGTATTTTTATTTTTCCCATATGTGCTCGCTGTTTACAGTTAATGATAAATGAAATCATGTTATGGTCACTGTTACCCAGATGTTCTTTTATATGGACATTCGTAATAAGCTCTGCATGGTTTGACATTACCAGTCCAGCAGATCATTATTCCTAGTAGGGGCCTCTATGAACTGTACCATACAACTGTCCTGTAGTAGGTTTAAAAATTTTTGCCCTTTAACTGTTCCTGCAGTACCATTACTCCAGTCAATTTCTGGGTAGTTAAAATCCCCCATTATTATCACTGTCCCAGCCCTTTTGTTCTGTGCAAGGATCTGAGTCTCCACCTCCTCATTAACACTGGGAGGCCTATAACAAACTCCAATGATTACCTATCATGTACCTGGTGATGGAAGCCAATGGAGAGAGGGCTTCCCTTGAGGCTAAGTTCCAGACTTCCCTGAGAGTGGGACAGCGGGAGTCAGGCCCAAAGTGGCACAGGTCGCCTGTAGGAGTGGTGGTTGGTGGTCCACCCAGAAGCACAGCTGATGTACAGAGATAGGTCTGCATACAGGTGGTGCCTGTGTGTGGTATGCAAGCCCTTCCGGGATTTAGAGATTTACTGGATAGCCGGTTCAAGCCAAGGTCGAGTGCCAGGTGGGAATCAGAGCAGACGTAGTCAGATGGGATAGCCGAGGTCATACACAGAGGAGCAAGAGAGAGAGTATCCGTAAGCCAAGCCGAGGGTCAGATCAGGGGTTAAACAGAGTAGACAGGTCCAAGAGCAAGACGGGTCGGTATCAGGAAATCACAGGTCACAGGAAACAGGGACAAGGCACGGGGAGCTAGAGATCTTCCAGCAACTTGAGGAAGAGATGAGCCTCATTTTAAAGGCCCTTTGGCACCAAACTGAGGCTGATGTGTGCTTCTGCGGCCATGCAGGGTACTGGCAGAAATGCCAGATCTTCCAGAACTTCTGCTGTGGACAGGACCCTGACATTACCTTTATAGTACGCACCCCCATGTACAGTTCCACCCATAATGCTTCAGCCTCATCACACTCTCCTTCAACTAGGTCCTCTTTCACACTCGCTCTGAGATCACTTCTCACACAGAGACAGACACCACCACCTTTCCCATTTACCCGGTCTCTCTGAAAGAGAACATAGCCAGGAATATTAATGGCCAAGTCATGCAAAGAATGAAGCCAAGATTCAGCAATACCGATTAAATCACTCTTTATGCACCAAAGCTTCCAACCTACCAATTTTGCTTGGCAGACTTCTGGCATTGGTGAACAAACACTTTAATGCATTGACACCTTGTTCACAAGTATTTTGCATATTTTTGATTTTTGTACAAATGGTACCAATTCCACTGGTTGTTTGTAACATGGGAACCTTCTTATGTGCCATAGCCTTCCCCCCATCTTTCCCCATTCCACCCACCAATAAGTACTGACCAATGTCTGATCTGTCTACCCTGTTATAGTCTAATTCTCGCTCCCCCCTCGATCCTAGTTTAAATGCTCCTCCAGCCTTCCCATAAATCTCTCTTCTAGCACAGCAGACCCCCTTCCATTTAGGTGCAAACCATCTCTAGTATATAGGTTGCACCCCAATGAAAAGTCTTCCCAGTGCTCTAGAAACCCAAATCCTTCCCTCTTACACCAGGTCTTCAGCCATACATTGAGTTCTCTAATCTCCCCATGTCTTTCTTGAGTTGCACATGGCACAGGTAATATTTCAGAGAATATCACCTTGGAGGTCCTTCCCTTCAACTTGCAGCCTAGTTCTTTAAATTAATTCTTAAGGAGCCTCCACCTTCCATGTATTCTGTCATTGGTTCCAACATGAACCAAGACAGTGGGTCATGCACAGCCCCTCCCAGTAATTTATCAACCTGGCCCACCACATGCCGAACCCTAACACCGGGAAGAAGGCAAACCATTCGGTTGAGGCGATCCTGGTGACAAATGATTCTATCAGTCCTTCTGATTATAGAATCCCCTACTACCACAAGCTGTCTAGCCCTTCCTGCACTACCCTCACCACCCCTCCCAGATGGTCTGTCCTCCCAGCTGTTAAGGATACAAGTGACATCCAGGACTGCCACCCCTTAGCTTGCCACCCCCACATCTCCACCCAACTTGGCAAATCTGTTTGCGTGCACAAACCCAGGGCTGGACTTCCTTTTCTGTGAGCCCTTACCACTCCCTCCCATTACAGTAACCCATCTTCCTACCTGATAATCCTGATTAGCCCCTCCACATCAATCCCATTAGCTACCTGCTCAGAGAGCAGAAGACCCCTTTCAAGGTTGTTGGTTCTGCCCAGTGTTCCAACTTGCTCCTCCAAATCTCTAACGCAAGTTTCCAGAAGGGCAACCAACTCACATCTGTTGCAGCGGTATCCATGCTGAAGCTGTTGCTCCATTGCTGCATACATATTGCACACTGTGCACTGCACAAAACCTTCCACCCTGCTAGCACTCATATCCCAGTTACAATATTAACAGGAAATATCGGTTGTCACTTACAGGTTAGTAGACTCCTGTTATATTCTCCGGTTTTTGACTCCACTTAGTCAAAGGTCCAGCAAGCAAAATACAGGCAAGCTCAGAGTGAGCTCTGCATCAAGTTATATAGGACCTGTATCACCTGTGACCAATTAACCCCTCCCCTTAATTAGCAGAGTGAAGAAAGACAAGGAATGGAAGAAAAAAAATTAATTCTATTTAAAAAGTGACAGAAAAAGTTATTTAAAAAAGTAAAAGCTTTTAGCAAGACCCAAAGAAGAAAATAAAACAACTACAAGCACCAGCAATCACCAACAGTCAAAAGTAAAACTTTTTCACTCTCCACTCAAATTTCCCACTCTTTTTAGCTATCAGCCAGCAAAAAATGCCAGGTTTAAGCCAAGGATAACCTGAGATAAGGGAATGAGCAGGAGATGTTATCCAGTAGAAGATGTTTGTCCCCTTATGAAATTCCCTAATCATCAGAGTAATATGTATAATGCACAAGGTGACCAGGATCATGGACAAGGGAGAGTTATCAACAGTTAAGACTGAAAATGGTCTGTGCACCTTAGTCAAGCGAATCTGTAGACAGTATAGATAGATTACTATTAATGAAATTGCTAGCAGCACCAGAATCTATGAAAGAGAGGTGATGAAAGATCAAGGCAGAACAAAGTTGTGCAGCAACAAATAATTTCTCTCAGGAAGAACCTGGTACAGAATAGTCCAAAGAAACAGACCTGAACCACACTAGACTCTTGGCATGTAAGTTTGCAAATCTCCCCGGCAAATAAACAAGCCTGTGTAGAGTCCATCTTCCCAGACAAAAAATTATTGTTAAAGTCTTTTTATAATGTCAGTCTTACCCCTAACGCAATTGATCAGACACTATAGATGGCTTCTGTGTTCTTCACCTATAGCAACCCCCTTTCCCATAAGACAAGCTGGCCTACCGGTACTTGGTTGCCTCCAGGTCTTATACACAATGCTAAAGTGCTTTGCTACCAGGTGCAGGCAGAAACTGAGCACAGCAAACAGGTACTTGTGGTTAACAGGCAGGCAGAGTGGTTCAGTGACAGTTCAGGTACAAGGCAGGCAGGGTTCAGGATAGTCAGGGTCAGATCTGTAGTCAAAAGATAGGCAGAGCTCAGAGAATAGTTGATATCCGATTCAAGGTAATCAACAAGGGAATCCAAACAGCAGAGCAGGACAGACAAATAGGGAGCTTGCAACACATGTTACAAATGCAACACCTCAAGCATGAGACTGCAGGCTTGGCTGGCTTAAATCAGGTTTGGTCTCCTCCCAGGGACTGGCCACATCAATCAGCTTACAGGTAGATGGACACACAAGGGGAGTGCATCATAGCCAAAACCAGGATGCTGGAATGAGACCAGTGGTTGTGATGGATTAGGAATGCTAGATTCTCCTGACAATCAGCCTCTACATTTTTATCCAAACAACAGAGAGAAACTGAGCATGTGCAGAGCAGGGTGAGACAATATATTACTGGATTTTAACCTCTTTCCCACCACCCTATAGCAGAAATACTTCTACAGAGCGGCAGGGCTGTGCAAAGTCATATATATATACATGATCTTGCATTTTCGGGTAGGGCAGCGCACACTGCCATCTGAGGCTATAACTGTTGATTACCAGGTCCCGGCCGAAGATTCCCCACCGACACCCAGCGATTGCCGAGGAACACTTACAGGGGAGAGGTCTCTATGTAAACTATACAGATTTCTACCCTGTCAGCACCAGCATGCTGCTTTGTATTGCTCTGCATAGCAGAGCAATACAGAGCAGCATGCTAACATAGTAAAACACAGCACATAATATGAAACACACACAGCACACATTTAACCCTTTGACCACCCAAAAGATGTCAACCCCTTCCTGCCCAGTGTCATTAGAACAGGGTCAACGCTTTTCATTAGCACTGATCACTGTATTAGTGTCACTGGGGATGTCAGTGACAGTTAGTCAGTTCCCACCCAGTTTCAGAATGCCCGCCGCAGTCCAGCAGTCCCACTATAAGTCGCTGATCGCTGCCATTACTAGTATAAAATAATGTAAAAAAAAATTTTACATTATATATACCGCCATTTATAGATGCTATAACTTTCACGTTAAACAATTAATTTAAATGTATTGGGATTATTTTTAGCAAACACAGTTGCTGAATGATGTTATTTTTAAAACATTTATACTGGATATGTTTTATAGCAAAAAGTCAAAAATATTGCTTTTTTCTCAAAATTGTCTGTTTTTTTTTGTTTATAGCACAAAAAATAAAAACAGCAGATGCGATCCAGAGAAAGCTCCATTTGTGGGAAAAAAAGAACATAAATTTCATCTGGGTGCAGCATTGCATGACCATGCAACTGTCAGTTAAATTAACGCAGCACCGTAGCGCAAAAAATGGCCTTATCAGGAAGGGGGTAATTCCTCTGGAGGACAAATGGTTAAACAGTATAGGCACTTATTTTTAATGTTTACAAAGCTATACCTGAAAAAGGGGATAGCCTGAAGTGATCTAGCAGGACTTAAAGAGAATGCTAATCCAACATTTCATATTTCTGATATTTCCCTGTACTTGAATGAAAAAATATCCTATTCTCTTTGCATTGCTGCCTTTGTGTGAAATACCAGGTGCTCTTGACATTCTCTATGCTTTCCTATTAATAACTGTACACATTAAGCAGGAGAACACACCATGGTCAGTTGTCTAGCTATGCTGGGAACTCAGCCTGCTCTCTTCCAATGATCAGACTTATCCTGACATGACACCCTTGCACAGCCTTTCACTGTGAAAATATCAGTGTGCTGCAGTTTCTCCTCCCCTAACTCTTATGCAGCAGAGAACAGAGGGCATGTGATCACTCATAAAAAAGGGGAAAAAATGTTTATAATGTTTTTTTTTTTGTTATCTATACACAAACGTTTTCATTTCTATTTTAAGCTGAATGGGTGAAGGTTTACATATAGTTTAATTTTCTGACTAAAGTTCCACTTTAATTAACTTTTAGCCCTGATTCACACTGAATGCGACTTGGGTTTTTATTTTGGAGGTACAGTGGGGATCGAAAGTTTGGGCACCCTAGCTAAAAATTTGTATTAATGTGCATAAAGAAGCCAAGGAAAGATGGAAAAATCTCCAAAAGGCATCAAATTACAGATTAGACATTCTTATAATATGTCAACAAAAGTTAGATTTTATTTCCATCATTTACACTTTCAAAATAACAGAAACAAAAAAATGGCGTCTGCAAAAGTTTGGGCACCCTGCAGAATTTATAGCATGCACTGCCCCCTTTGCAAAGCTGAGACCTGCCAGTGTCATGGATTGTTCTCAATCATCGTCTGGGAAGACCAGGTGATGTCAATCTCAAAGGTTTTAAATGCCCAGACTCATCTGACCTTGCCCCAACAATCAGCACCATGGGTTCTTCTAAGCAGTTGTCTAGAAAACTGAAACTGAAAATAGTTGACGCTCACAAAGCTGGAGAAGGCTATAAGAAGATAGCAAAGCGTTTTCAGATGTCAATATCCTCTGTTCGGAATGTAATTAAGAAATGGCAGTCATCAGGAACAGTGGAAGTTAAAGCAAGATCTGGAAGACCAAGAAAAATATCAGACAGAACAGCTCACAGGATTGTGAGAAAAAACAATTCAAAACCCACGTTTGACTGCACGATCCCTCCAGAAAGA